TAATATGCACGTGTTGAGTCATCATTGGTCAATGCCCCCCTTTGCTATTTTAATTTTGAGATAATTGCATAGAATTCCCCCAAATTATGACTCATATTCTAGTTTAGTCTCTTGATGTTAAATCGTTTTATATTAGTCCCCAAGCTATGACCACATTTTGAATTAACCCCTAAGTTTTAAAATATTATGCACCAATACTCAAACTATCAGTTTTATTCTATTTTGATCCTTAGTTCTAAAATTTTAATATTTTTAATGGCGATCTTCTAAAAAAATTCTCAAACCTATAAAAAAATATAGATTAATTTTATTAGGTCACATGTTCAATTCATGCTACCTTCAAAAATAGATTATTTTTTGAAAAGGTTATGAGTTCAATTCTCGTGACCTTCGAAAACTAATAGAGTTAACAACATGATATCATAAGGATCAAGATAAAATAATATTTACAGTTTAAAATTTTTATTTTGGTCATGAAGGTTTAAAAAATCAATTTACTCATTGAACTTTCTAGTTGTTATTTTGGTCATTCTATTGTTAAATACTTAACAATGTTATGATTATATATTTGTCTCTTTAAAAAATATGAAAAACCCCAATTTTTTTTATGAAAAAACCCTAATTTCACATTCCATTTTAATTTCTCAACGATGGAACGTCTTCTTTCAAATCCTTACTATGGATAGGTGGAGAATGGGGAAGCAACATGTATATCTTGAGTTCACATTGATCGGATGGTGAAAATTATATATCAAAGTGATTTAGGGTTTCATGAGTGGTATATTTTAGGTTGAGTTTCACGAGTTTTAAAGTAAAATTGAAGAAAAATCTGAACTGATTGATTTGTAGGAGACGATGAAACGTTTGTTAAGATTTTGAGTGGTTAGAGAAGACAATGTCAAAATTTTAAAACTTTCATCTTTGGAATAATAAAAAAGAAAATGATGTGGATGTTATGTCAACAAAAAACAGATTATGTCTGAACGTGTGGCTGCCATGACACTTGTCCATTTTTAATCTAATGTTCGAGTGGTCACATATGAGCAACCCGAAAGTTCAGTGAGTACATTAAAAAAAAAGTTAAGTTAATGACTAAAATAAAAGTGAGAAAAATTGAATGATGATATTTATAATTTATCCAACAATTTAATGCTGAAAACAACGACAAAAAACAGTGTTCTCGTACCATGAAAATGTCCTAAATATCCTTCCGCATGCACTACAATAATGTGACGTTTGAAGTGGTAGCATGCTCTTTAGCAAGATCCTTTCCGTGAAAGGACCAGTATCACAGTTTGATCTCTCAGCTGAAAAATAAAAAAATAAAAAAATAAATTTCTGTAAATAAAGAAATATAAAATAAATTATATTTGTGACTGATAATAGCTTTTCTTTGTAATTACCCATTTTTTTATCATGCAATATTAATGAAATTATTATGAAATTGAATTTGGGGCTAATTTTTTGTTGATTATTCTCATTTTTTGTTTTTATTTTTGCACCTAAAATATATTACCCAACATAGAAAAATGATGAAATTTTTATTGAAGAAACCAATTTAAGGCATAATATAAGGACTATTTTTTGTTGTTTTATTAGTCCATGTAATGTAGTATTTGTAAATTGTGGATTTAATTTTTATATTTTAACTTTATCTTTTTTAGTTTTTATATTTATTAAAATTTTAAAATTTTGATCATGAACCAAAATAATGTTAAGTTTGTTAGGTTAAATTTTATTGCTAGTCCTTATATTATGTATAAGTTATAAATTTACTTTTTATCCTCCAATTTAATTATTTGAAGTCTAAGTAATTTAGTCATATTATTTTTATATTTTTGGGTCAAATTTGAAATTTCAAAATTTAAAAAGTAGTAACTAAATTGGAGCACATGAGCTAAAATCACAACTTATATGAACTATTAATAAAATTCGACATATTATTCAAAGTTGAACGCATGATTTTATATTAGGGTGTGAGAACTAAATTTAAAGGATACAAAATTCGATCATCAATAAAAAACAAAAAAATATCTAAATTATATTAGAACTTAATATTTTTTTAAAATATGACTGCATCCCGACATCCCTTGATTCATCCCGCTATTATCTATACATTATCAAATAATCAAATCATTTTATCGTTAAAATTAAATTACTTATATTTAAACGTAAGATATAAATCCAAATTCAAATATATAATTGATGCATGTACAAAAAAAAAAGGAAAAGAAAAGAAAAGAAAAAGATAAGTGTATTTTTTAAAATTTGTCTGTATATTTTTAAACCAGGTATAATCTATTTATCCATTTTCTTTAGAAGTCCCAATTTAAAGCGGATGTATTATATATACGCATGGTTAATGATTAAAAAAATTCTAATTAATGGGATTGGTCGAAGTGGTAAGCAGTTTGATATCACTTAAGTAAATCTCGAGATCGAGTCCTTGTATATACAGAAAATCCCCGTTGTGAGACTCATCCACCAAAACTAGGTGTATGATCTGGATCGGTTCGGATTAGTCAAGGCAAAACCTTGGAAACCGGAAGGAAAACAAAAAAAAAGATTATGAACATATACTACCTTTATGATAATCTCAGACTATTAAAAAAACCTTAAAAGTTGAAAGAGTAAGACTTAATTTGATTGAAACTTAAACTAACGGGGACCTATAATGTGATTAGACCAGAAATTTTAAACCAGTGCCCCTTCCACTCTCTACGTGGATCTGTCCCTGTATGTATATACATTCCTTACCTTTAGACTCAGTAACGAACACTACTTCATTTAACCTCACAACTAGAGATTATACATATGCATACATACATATATCTAAGAGTCGGAAGTTTCACGCCAGCAGACAAGCATAGCGATGCAACGGCGGAGGATGTAGAACTTGGCTCGCTGTGTCTTCACCAAATGGCTGCACTTTTTGCCGACGGATCTGCAAGCCTCGTCTGATCTGTACTTGTTATCCTCGCTAATATAACGTCTCGTCGGCGTCGCTATTTCTCTACTGTAGCCCATTGCTCCACCCACATTTGCCGCTAAAATAAGCTGCAAGCAAATATGAAAAAAGTGTTTTTTTTAATCCACGAGGGTTTAAGCCGTCATTTAAATAGAAGGTTGGAGATATTTTTTGAACTGTGGGGGAGATAGATAGAGACGGGTCTTTTAACTTTTACCCATCAATATATTTTGATTCAGAATGTTCATAGAATCTTTACAAGGGATAGAACCATATAGAGAGTAAATAAATTCTTGTACATATGTCTGTAAACGACCAGCCGAGTTAAATTATTGCTAAGTTCGACTCGAAAACTTAAAAATTGAGCTTGATTTGACTCGAACATTTACAAGCCTAAAATTTTTAAGTTCGACTCGAACTCGAAACCATGAATTAAAGTTCGAAAAAGCTCGAAATAAAATATCTTAAACTTGATTGAAACTCAAACTCGAACTTAAACATGAACCTTAAATACATGAAAATCTTATACTGCATTTTTTAAAATAACACATAAATGTTAATAGTATTAATAAGTTTTTTTAATAAAATAAAATCTTAATATATTATATTTTCGAGTTGCTCGCAAGTTTTTTTGAGTTGAGTATCAAGTAGTTTGCTTTGATTCGTTAACAACTCGAGTCGTGTCAAATTCATTCGAGTCGAGTATTTATTAAGTTTTGACCAAATCAATATCGAATAACTGATCACGATTGTTTCGTCCCACTTACAACCCTATTCTCCACGTTTATGAATGAAATAAAATGGTAGAGAGTACTTTGAGAATGTCATTGACCATGCAAAAGAGTGCTTTGTAGACATGCGGTGTTAGGTCTATTGAAAAGAAATGCAAAGTTTGAAGCTTTGATATTGTAAATGAAAAAAGGGTAAACTATGCAGATAGTCCCCTATGTTTAGAGTATGACCGAATTAGTCACTAATTTCAAAATTAAGGGAAAAAGATCATAATATTATCGATCCGTTCAGTTTTAGTCTCTCGGCCCATTAATTTCGTTAACCTCTTTTTGTTTAAATCCCTTTTGTTTAATTCTCTAACAAGGTTGAGGGACTAAAATCGAACAGGAGATAAGATTGATAATATTAGGGACCATTCCCCCTTAATTTTAAATTGGTGACCAAATTCGGTCAAACCGAAAACATAAGGGACCACATGAAAAAATGGATTGAGAAATAGTGGTATAATTCAATTTGAGTTTAAAAATATTTTTATTATCCTAAATGAGAAAAAAGGATAGATAAGGGGTCTAATTGTAGATTAAGCAACTTCATAACAGTAAATTACTACTTTCGAACAGATTTATGGGCCAGTAAAAAATTCGTAGCATCAAAACAGTGAAAAACAAATGGAATAAAATCTCTTATTTTGTTGGCTCATCATTGAATCAACAATTTACCTTTTTTACCAATCTCCAAGTTGACTCAATGAATGTTATAATAATGTATAATCATATGGGCTATGGATTTTTTATTCAAGGAACAACTTTTTAAAATATTAAAAATATAATATTGATGATATTTTTGTTAAAAAAAATAGTTGAAGACCAAAATAAGAGGCAAGTATTAGGTTGATGACTAATGGTGCAATTTACCGTTAAAAACCTTTCTTGATTTCAGTTGAAATTTGATAAATTTGAAAGGATTTTATGTATATTTCATACTTTATATTATATATTTGCAATTATTATTATTTCAATAATATCTAAATATGTATTAGACACAAATATTTTCAACCATTTAACAATAAACACTCAATCACTCTGCTACAGTCGTTAATACTAGTACCTGAGACCTCTAAAAATAATAATAATTCTTTTAACCACTGAGATAATTTGATTTGTGCAACTAACTATTCTTTTAAAAGATTATACTTTTTATGATCATATTCGGATACATTTAGGACATAAAAGAAAAATAAGAGACAGAGACGGGGAATGCTCATTTTTTCCAAGATATTCAAATCAATTGTCATTTAATGACTATATCTTCATTCCCATACTCGGATGCAAAATTCGAAATGGTACGAAGAAACAATATATAAGAGGTGGTCGGAGATTGCCTTAGTGAAATCAGCTGTTGCCGAAGAGCCGCCGAGGTCGGCGGTTCAATATTTTACCTCAGAAATTGTGCTACAAACGGCATTCTGAATACTTTCGGCCATGTCATGGAGATTCAAGTGTCGTAACATCGTAACCGCACTTGATAACAAAGCAGTAGGGTTTGCTAGATTCTGAAAAATATTCCGGCCGTGTAAATAATTAGCCAGTAACAACAGAAATATGGGTGTATGTGTATGCGTATGCAAATATTCTCAAGTGCTGCTTGTCCATGCAAGATGTATGACTCTAGAGAGAAATGAACAGGCAATTATAAGTCTTAAGATAGATTTGATGACAAACCTTTCTCGTGATAACCGGTGCTGAACCATGAACTGCTTCAGCAAGAGCTATTCCTCCCTCACCACTACTGCAACTGCTGTAAAAGTAAATGCTATTAAACCATATAGACGTTTGTTACATACGATTGTTAGGAAGGTTCGGTTTAGTTTACCTTGGTGTTAACTCATTCCCAAGCCACAGATCAATCCGGCACAAAGATCGCTCGTAATCTCACCATAGAGGTTAGGCATCACCAATACATCACAAAGTGCAGGATTCTTCACAAGCTGCAGTTGGAAAACTAGTTATAGTTCTAGATATCGGTTTCCGTTTCCATCAAAGATGATTTAGTAATTCGTTAGAAGTAGTTTCCCGGAAGTAGTACAGGCCGGAAAGTCGTGTCTATATGGTAGTTGATTAAAAATCCGACCACCCACCTCCGATCAAAAGTGGGATAAAAATGAAACCAATGTAATGTCTTATTGTAGGATATCTGTCATACCATCATACAACCATTGTCAATGACCACTTCCTCATACTTTATCTCCCGGTATTTCTCCGCAACCTCACGGCAACACTGCAAAACAAGTAAAACCAAAATTAATAAACAAGTACACGAAAAAATTACAAAAAACTAGGCATTTGAATCGACAACTTGAGGAAAAAGACTGCCGGTTTTCTGCATAATATTGGCTTTATGAATCGCAGAAACTCGTTCTCTTCCATGAGTCTTAGCATACTGAAAAGCATATTCGGCCACCCTCAAGCTTGCCTGCCGAGTGATAATCTTGAGACTTTCAACCATACCTCTCACCACCTAGCAACCAAACATAGGCTTAATATTCCATCGATAAAATTGCACATAAACTATAGATCGAACACAAACCTGCTTGACATTCGAGTCCACTTTGCTCGCCTTCGGTGTTTTCACGAATGGTGATGAGATTTACATCATTGTACCAAGTCTTATACACCGGGAGGCTATAACACGGCCTGACATTGGAATCATAGTACTAAATTTTGGTCACAACGTAACGTAACGGCTGTATCATAACGGTCTTTAAGATCATTGCAACTGCATCCGTAATCTAGAAACATTACTACTTCTGGGAAACAAAACACGATCACGACAACTGTTGCCTAACCTCTACAACTCCATCAATTGCATCCGCAATTTAGTACTATGATTGGCATAGAAATGAAGCTCTTTCTTTAGAGCCAGATTCAAAGACTATGAGCTTCACCGATGTTAGTAGCCATTGGACCTTTCAAGCCTTCACCATTCTTTCTTAGGGATTCTAAGCTTTCCCATGTTTGAAAACTCTGATTTCTTGGATCAATTTGGTCCCCAACATAATGTTCTTCCCATTCAATTGGTATTTCAGCTGTTCTAAAAACCTGAATCAATTAAAATCACTGAGTTTGTGCCTAAATCTAAAGCCTTTAAAAAAAAGCAATAGTTTAACTCTTAGGATTCAACTTCACTAATACAAGCATAGAGAAATAGGGACTTTCCGATTGAAAACTCGAAGCGAGCAAATTAAAGAAAAGTTAGAGAGATGGCGGAAACCTGTTTGACGGACTGCGCGATCTCGGGGCCGAAAGCGTCGCCGGGGAAGAGAGTGGCTCGGATGAGAACGGTGGAAAAAGAGAAAGCTCTGGTTAAGGAAAGTGGCAAGGTAGAGCTAGGGTTGGGTTGGGAAAGGATCTGATTGATTCGTTTCAGTAGCGGAGTTGCCATTGATGGTAGCTAGCTGAGTCTTTGAGTGCGTTTGAATAAAGACCAAAATTGTAAAGGGTAAAGTACACAAATGACCCTCCTACTATAAGATATTACTTTATTAAATCCCTTGATTATTAAAACTTACAAAATAGTCATTTGATAATAGAATGTTGCTTTATTGAATCCCTCTACTATTAAAAGTAACAAAATGATCACTCGACCATTCATTATGTTCTAAACTCGTCATTTTTTGTTAAAAAATTGACTATATTATGAGTTAAAAGTTAATCTACTAAATGTGATATGATAAAATCTAATCCCAGAATCTCGAACAACTATCTTATCTCAGTCATTATGTTAATATTCAACCTAGATAATCGTCAATTTTTAACAGAAGATGATAAATTTATAACATAATGAATAGTCGGGTGACTAATTTGTAACTTTTAATAGTCGAGAGACTTAACAAAACAACATTCTATCGTTGAAGAATCATTTATAACTTCTAATAGTTAAGGGACTTAATGAAGCAATACTCTATAGGCAGTTGAACATTTGTGTACTTTACCCAATTGTAAAACTAATCACTAAAAATCCTTAAACTAACGATTAGATTCTAATTAATCCCTAAACTTCAAAAAATTCCAACTGAAATCTCGATATTATCATTCGATTATTTTGAAGGTTATATTTTCACATGATCAACTTCTTTTACAAATAAACAATAACAAATTTACAAGGACCAAATTGAAAAGATTTTAAAACTAGCAGATCGGGAGAGGGGCACCATTCCATTCTTTAAGACATTCAAGCATAGGATCAATGATCTTCCCTTGGCACATAGCAACGAACACCTTATCAAATTCCTCACCAGGTGACTTCACTTTCTCCCCTGTTAGCAGCCCGGTTCCGAGCTCTTCCCTCACAAATTTATACAACGGATACGATCGGCAACCGACAATCTTGTTCAGTACCGCCGGGTTCCCGTCCTCGATCGAAACCCTCGAGTTCACGACCTCCTTTGGCAATACATCCTTTAATTCTTCTTCGAAAGCCTCTATCTTTTGGAATATTGATGTGCTCGTGTCGTTCTCATTGTCGCCGTTTCTCAATGCATGCTCGACGAGTACTTGCCGCAGCTTTTGCATCAATGGGTACGTAGCGCTGCAAGGGTCATCGATGTATGCAAAAACATATTCATGATCCACGGCTTTAAGTAAGTCCTTCTCGCAGAACCGCGAAGGATGAAGCTGGCCATTGGGGCCGGTCGTGAGGATCTTCTTAGCTACTTGGCTCACCGTGTTCTTCACCGTGTTCCTTAAGTTCTCTTCTAAATGCCTCAAATCAATAGCTTGGCAAAGGGCCACCAAAAACGTAGACGACATCAGCTTAAAGATTTCGATGGCTTCGGCGGTTTTCCGGGATGAAATTAGCCCCAAAGAGTTCACATATTGGTTGTGCTGCTCGGCACTTTGAACATGAGTCGTAACCGGATTACCCAAGTATTGGAGCTCGGAACAATAGGAAGCCATTGCAATTTCTGCACCCTTGAAACCATAATCGAGACTCGGGTTCGGACCACCAGAGAGGTTCGATGGGAGACCATTGTTGTAGAAATCATTAACCAGTTCCGAGAATTGGGCGAACATAAGCTTCCCTATAGCAGCAATAGCCAATCGAGCATTGTCCATCGAGACACCGATTGGGGTGCCTTGGAAGTTGCCACCATGTAAGGCCTTGTTCCTCGAAACATCGATCAGAGGGTTATCATTGACGGAGTTAATCTCTCTTTCGATCGATTTGGTTGCAAATCGGATCACTTCAACCTGTGGACCAAGCCATTGCGGAGAAGTCCGTAAGGCGTACCGATCTTGTTTCGGTTTCTGCAATGGATCCATTTCATGCAACTTCTTGGCTGATTTAACATAAGAGCTCCCTTCAAGGATATGTTCCATTATCGCAGCAGCCTCGATTTGTCCCGGATGATGCTTCAGTTTATGCGTCAAATGATCCGTAAACTCGGGTTTACCGTTCATTACTTCGGCAAAAATTGCAGACAAAACCTCAGACAAAACAGCAAGTATGTTAGCTTCAAAAAGAACCATGGAAGCCAAGCCAGAACCGACTGCAGTGCCATTGACAAGAGCCAGCCCTTCTTTAGGCTGCAACTCGAAGAAACCGGAATCAATACCGGCTACATGAAAGGCTTCCTCGGCATTAAGAGATTCTCCGTCAGGTCCGACGGCCTTGGAATTCAGCCTCCCGGTGAGCAATCCGGCAATGTAGGAAAGCGGAACGAGATCGCCGGATGCTGTAATGGTGCCACGAAGGGGCAAACATGGGGTGATGTTGCGGTTTAAAAGCTTAGTGATGGCTTCCAAAATCTCGAATCGAATACCAGAGTATCCCTGAAGGAGAGTGTTGATTCTAACGAGCATGGCTGCCCGAGTTGCTGAGTGAGGGAGCGTGTTGCATGACTCGGTTCCATTGCCGAAAATTCCAGCATTCAAGAACCTGCAGAGGAAGCACAAAAGTTTGCTCGAAATCACAAAACCCGTCGACCATAAGTTTTTTTTTTCTTTCTTTCATGCAGCAATGCTACGAGTTAAGAGCTGAATCAAAACGGGCGGTTCAGCTCAGTTTGAAACCAAAGTTGCATATTTGCATTGCTAATTAAGTATACGAAATTAAAAAGGAGTTCAATCTAACTCACCGAATCAACTCTTTTTGAAGCGCAGCGCCTTGTTTAGTTCTCCGATGAGAAGTGGCGCCAAATCCAGTGGTAACACCATAGCTATCAATACCTTTATTCATCCCGTCGAGCACCCAATCGGCGCTCGCCTTAACGCCGGCCCTCGCGTCGTCGGAAAGTTCAACCTTGACGCCAGAGTCACTCGAAGCTATTGCGGCGACCTGTGAAATCGTCAGCGTCTCACCGCCGAGCTTCACCGATGGCTTCCGATACTCGGCCACCATGCGTTTCACCTCGTCCAAATGACTCCCCTTCAGCGACTCCGCCGCGACGGCCCAGTTCAAAGGATCGGTGCCGCCTCCGTTGGAGGTGGCGGCGGTGCAAAAGCTCTCGGAAGAAGAACCGTTTTGAGCGATTGAAGCCATGTTAACAACAGGAATTGATTAAGAAATGAAGAATGATCCAACAAAAACAGATTTGTAAGCTGTTGAAATTATGAACGCTTGGTTTCAGAGGGGAAATGAGAAAGGATCAGCTCAAAGGAAGAATTTTTATTTTTGTTTTTGGATTTCGTTTAGCTACCTTCCTGGGGAGTAAGGAAGATAACAGCCGTTTAAATAGAGGAGATTAGATTAGAGGAAGGAGAAGGGATTCGTGGGAATAGGTAGGCAGAAGAATAAGTTAAATTTATTATTTAAAAATTAAACATATAATTAATAAATTTACGTAAAAATTATTTATCATTTTGTTATAATTCTTCGTCAATTAAATTTTACGGTAAAGTAAGTAAATAAATTCCAATTATAGGATATTGTTTAATTAAATCATTCTATTAAAAGATACAAATAAAAAATATTTCGACTATTCATTATGTTTTAAACTTATCATTTTCTGTTAAAATTTATGATTGTCTAAATTGAACATTAACACGATGACTAAAATATGATAGTCGTTTGAGATTCTAAGAGCATATTTTATCTTATCACAGTTAAAAGATTAACATTCAGCTTAAAATATCATCATTTTTAAACAGAAAATGACGAGTTTGAAACATAATAAATAGATGAGTAATCATTTTATAACTTTTAATAGTCGAGAGACTTAACAAAGCAACACTCTATAATCAGAAGATCATTTTGTAACTTTTAATAGTCGAGGGACTTAAGAAAATAATACCATGTAGTCGATGGATCATTTATATACTTTACCCTAAATTTTAAAAGATAAAAATAAAAATCATATTTAGAAAAATAAATATTTTTGATAGATTTAAAAAACGTCTCCATGTACTCATTTTTAATCACAATTTAACGAGGTTAAACAAAATTTTCAACTCTAATTTAAATCACAAATCTAATTTTTAATTACGTTGTATTTATCATAACTTATGAGCGTAATAAATATTATTATAATTAATTAAGATGAATATCAGTGATTAACTATTACAATTCAAAATCTGTTTTCGGAATTTTATAAATTTATTTTTTTTTTAAAAATTATAAATTCAAGTTCACCCCAACATAAGATATTGTATCCGTTAATGATTATACGAATATGAATAAGTAAACACAATTTTTTGGATGGATGTAGTTGGTGAGAATGAGTTGGACATATTACCATGCATGAATCGGTTGATGCTACGTTAAATATTTTACTCATAAGATAGAATTTTGCCAAATATGAAATGGTTTTCTCATATGCCACAAACTTGACCCAAAATGTCAATTTTGGACACATTTGGGACTTTTTTTTTAATATAAAAACATTTAGAACATGTTTTACAATAAAAACTGATTTCGAAATTTCTTTATTAGCGTTGGGTTGTTGAAACTTGAAACAGTCTTGTTGTTGTCAAACATTTAATATTCCTTAAATAAATATTTTAATGCCAAGTTGCATGTGTTTTAATGCATTAATTAATTAATGGATGTTGTAATTAATTTCTCTAAATCTTTTATATAAATAAAAACAAATTATTTTATTAAGAAGGTAAAATATTTAAAATTATATTAAAAAAATTATAATTATAAATGTAAACCAAACATATAATTTCAATATTTTTTTGTAATCATTTACGCAAACAAAATTGGTCATTAAAATCTTATAATGACCATATAAAGAAAAACTTTTAACACATCCAAAAAAATTCGAAAAAATATACACGAATAGATCTTATTGTATTGAAAAACAGGAGATTAAACTACTGAAAGACCATCGGCAACCGAAAATCTGAGTCAAGTGTCGTGAGAAACCTATTTACGAATGCAAACCGCCTATTCAAATCCAATACGACGATCTAAAGCAAGGAAGATTAACTTGATAACAAATTAAGACCATATTGATCACTATAGGTGACGTCAGATTCAACTCTTAAAAAATTAAGTTAATAAAATAGTCAAACGATCAATAAAAAAATAAAAAAATATGTCCAAAAAACATAAGAAAATGGGTCATAAAAGATAGTTATTAGAAATTAAAAAGATAAAAAAAATAAAGAATATTAATAATCGACAACCAACATTAAATTGATCGTTGTTCACAGTTAATCAGAGATAAAAAAAATGTAAAGGATTTTGAAAATTGGTTCATATTAGTGTTGTTATTTCAAGGTTACGAGTTTGAGTATGATTAAAAGTTGTAAAGGAGAAATCACGAAGCGATCGTAAATGTGTCAAACTCAAAGTCTAAAACATTGAAAGAATCAAAGAAGGTAGCAATATGTATTTGTTAAGCAAAAGTTAAATAATAGTTCAGGCCGCATACTCCACCTAACAACGTGGGTCGACAACCATAATTAATGTACCTACAAAATAGGGAAATTGGAACCAAAACAAATCGACCTTTTAACCTACTGTAGATTTTCCTTCGCTATTAAGCCGATTGAACAAGTGATCTGATCGGTATAATTATCGATTTGGTTCTTATGACGTTAATATTAATAAAATTGTATTGAACGGGACGATCTCTCGTCTTAAGGTATATATTATCATGGTGTTATATATATATATATATATATAGTATAGTATATGTATTATATTATATTATTATATTTATTATATATATTTATTTATTATTTTGATTTTATTTGTAGGTCCAAATCCAATCCAATTAAAAGTCCATCCCACAATCCAAAACCCAATCCAAAGTACAGATTTCTAGTAGCCCAACCATAATGGCGAGCCTGACCCAACAAGCCATGTAGAGGAGGTCCAACAAATGAGCTCGCCTGATCCAGCAGGTCGAATTTACCAAAAGGAGGTTCACATACACATTAAGGTTTCACCCTTAACTTTCGCGCCGCACAAATGAAGATCGTTAGATCAAGACGGAGATCAATGGCCAGGATCATAAGAGATAGGGTTTTTAAACCTTAAAATATCATCACAATGCAATCAATCTTGGGTCGTTGAATCTGCAATCAATCCAACAACCAAGATCAAATCCCAAAATGATTAACAGCACGTGAATACCATGTGTCGATGAAGACATCGAACAGAAGCAAACTCCATGCGATTTTCAAGCGATTTGATGAACCAAATCAACGCCAAAACACAAAACAAACCAGAATCAATGCCAAATCGAACCAAATCAATGGCCGAATCTCAAGGAACAAGCAACAATCAAATCGAAGCAAGAAATGACAAAATAGGAACAAACAAAAATAGAACCCATATTTCCCATGAATTTTGATGAGAGGGAAATATATCCCCAAATCTGAGCAAATAAAAAAAACAAGGGGAACAACCCCATATTTTTCGGCTAATCCATCACCTATTTCAGGGGAAGAAGCGATTCTCAAAGGCGCTATATAAAGCCTGTTAAACGAAGCATCAGGGGAAAAGCATCGGAAAAAAAAACCAAACATTAAGCTTACGAATACCCAAAGCTAATCATAAAAATCACGATGAGAGAAGAGAGAAAATTTAGCCTCGTCAGAGGAATGAGCGGTTGAAGAGACTCATCGGAAAAGGTAAAAAATCAAAAGGTTTTTTTAGATCTAGGCCGCGGGTTTCATTTTAAGGGTAAATTGTTTGTTGTTATCTTGTTTAAATCAACCTTGAATGTTTCTATATATTGTCTTTGAGAGGAAAGAAATAGGAGGGGTTTTGGTAATTTGCCGAAAGGAGAGGACAATATTTTGAGTTTTATCAAGAAAACCGTCCATTCTAAGGTTCATGTGATTAGGTTTGACAGAAATATGTATAGAAACTTGTGTATAGATTAGAGTTTAATCTAATTTAAATGACGGATTTTTATTTGATGCTCTTGTTTTTTTTTTATAGTAATTCGTTGCTTTTTATGAAATTGAAATGTTGATGCCCAGATCTTAAGTACTTAAAAAGTTCGCATATTATCTTTTTAATGTAATCGTTAGATATTATTTTATTAACCAATTAATTCAAATTAAATATTATAAAAATTCATTATAACAAGATGATTCCGATCAACACTAACATAAAACAAATCAATACAAATCCGTAACACAGAATCGAGTCTTATCATCCCTGAAATTACCTTATTAGAGTAAGAGAGGACAATTCCACTCCTTTTTAAACCCATTTTCTTTTAGGGTAAAGTATATAGGTGGTTCACGATTATAGGGTGTTGTTTTATTGAGTCTTTCGTCTATTAAAAGTTATGAAATAGTTCTTCGAGTATAGGGTGCTGCTTTGTTAAGCTCTCAACTATTAAAAGTTATAAAATTGTCCTTAATTATTCATATGTTCCAAACTCATCCTTTTATGTTAAAAATTTGACGATGGTATGAGCTGAACATTAACATGTTGATTGGGATACGATAATCTTTTGAGATTTGGGGATTATTTTTTATCGTATCTCAATCAACTAGTTAACATCCAACCCATGTTAAAAAAGGACGAGTTTGAAACATATGAATAATCAAGTGGCTATTTTATAACTTTTTAATAGTCAGAATACTCAACAAAGTATCGCCCTATAATCAAAGGAGCATTTGTGTACTTTACCCTTTCTTTGAATTCTTCAACAACTTCATACATCCATCAAACAACTTTAGTCATATGTATATATATAACATACAAGGAATGAACATCTATAGGTGAAACTTGTTGTACATAGTAAGGGTGTTTAAAAAATATTCGATTTGAATTATTTGACTCATTAACTTGTAGATTTGATTAAATAATTATAGAGTTATATCCAAATTTATTGATCGAGTACCTTATTTATTATTTTTCATGAGTTTCCACTACAGTAGAACTGGTCTATAACGGCGTTTTTTTGTCCTATAACGTTGTTTAAAAGCGCCGCTAAAAATGATGTCGACGCAAAAAAAAAAGCGCCGCAATAAACGCTGCTAATACAAACGCAACAACTTTTAATGACATTTTAGTATACAAACGCCGCAATAGGTTTGATATTTATAGGCGTTTTTCGCAACAAATTCACTATTTAGCAGTGTTTTTAGTCACAAACGTCACAACATATTTGATATTTAGCGGCGTTTCGATACAAACGCTACAATTGGTTGGTCATTTAGCGGTTTTTTTTCCTAAAAACGCCGCCAAATATGCACTCCGTTAGTGGCGTTTCCCCCCTAAAACGTGCTAATCGAAACTGATTTTCAACATATCTTCTTCCTATTTTGTATTACCCAAATTTAACCTGTAACAATATCAATAACCATCTTAAATTTAATTACGATTCGAATTAAGTAATAGTACATAAAAACATAAATAAATCAAAGTTTACAAACATCAAAGTTAAATATAATGTAGTTCAACATTTTTCAATAACATAAACAAAACATTAACCTAATAAAACACCTAGGATGATGAATTATTCGTTTGATTTTGCTGCTATCATCTGCTTCATAGCTTCAATTTGATTTTGAAGTTCTTCATATTTTTCTGAAATGTTGCTTCTCTCGCCGCTCTCATTGTTTCTCTCGCTTCAACTTCGGCTTTCATTTGAGCAATTTTTTCATCAACTTGACTCGCTGTTAGTTACAAAGAAATTGGATTTAGAATGATGATGCATAAAAGACACCTTAGCTTGTACAAATATAGGGCACCATCCTTCCCCAACAAGACATTTCTTTGTAACATTGAAATTCAACATATTCAGTGTATCATCCACAACTTTCTCCCTTCGTACCTAATTAAAACAAAACAGAAATCACAAGGGTCTTAGTTGATAATACTACAGCATCAAATTTATCCTACTTACAGGATTTTCATACGCTAGCTAAGTAGTTTATTTTCCCAGCAGAGGAAACAAATATACAAAACAAGGTGCACTCACTAGTACATCTAACCATGCTCATCCATTGTGTTAGATGGTATCCAATTGAAGTCGGAGCTTTATTTTGATGGCGAATCCGGCATCCAATGTGACCTCTAATTCAGAAAGACGTGACAAGACCTGTGACAAAAAAGCAAAATTTTAACCAGAAGAATACAGATTTCTATAATTCCGACTAATAACAAACATGTAAGAGACATTGATAGGCAAGTGAAAAGGTAAAAAGAGCCAAATTAATTTAAAGTTTGCATTTGCTCTTATATATTCCAGAACAAATTTTCAAAATCTTTGTTCTTGCCTATTCTCCGGAGAAAAAAAACTACAAACACTGTTTTCTCTACCTGCAACGATGAATAGAAATGGAAAATTGTAAAGTTGATATCAATAATGAATCAATGTAGCTAGCAAAAAGAAATACAATAAACCTCTATGGATGTAGACAATACAGATAAAGAACTTACCAAATAACACAACAACTTCCAAATGAAAAGATAACTGATATAAGATTTAGCAACACAATAGGTGATTATGAGTAGGAAAATGAAACCTTTTCAGCTGATAAAGGATCCATGATTTCTTCACCAGCCGGTGCCTGATTGAAAAGCACATTGCCTCTCGTAGCACGAAATAACATCCTCTCAAATCTAAGAGCCTTGGATTTAATCTCAACCCAGGTTGGTCTGCAGTCCCATTTCCTGTACGATGAATAATCATTTAGTAGATGGAACCATAAAATAGACTTGAAAAAAAGCAATTAATCATAGGGTCAACAACTACCTGTTCAATTAATGATGATGCCTCATCATAACTATGATTAGAGTGTACATTCTCACTTAATTTCCCTTCCTCAGCAACTGCATGGTTATTACTAGACACAAGAAAACTACCTGCCTGGATTTTGAGAAATATGTATCAGAAGGCATTCAATATTCAACACAAAAATTTGGTTAGCTAAATCTTTCATAAATGTGGTATCCAGAATGTAAACTGAAAAGAGTTAACACATATTTGACAAGCTTACATATAAATAGGATCATCAAAGAGCTTAATTTCTTGTAAACAGTGGCTTGAGTACAAACATGTTATGAAGTTTACAACTATGCACTGACACACAATGGCTTTAGAAATTCAACCATATGGTGGAATAATTAAGATTAAATGGCATATAATAGAGGAAGAAAAGAAAAACCTCAGATGACTGTTAGCAGTGAAGATGGGATAGAAATCATTAAAAAAATTGCAATAATGCTATGTTACTCTGGTAATTGTTTCCTGTTGAAGTACCTGTTTCCTATGGCCGATACACTAATAAGGAAAGAACTAGGGACAATTCCGACCTTCTCTATGGATGAGGAGGTTAACTGAAAGGATGGAAAGGGCCAGCAATAGGAGATAACAAAAACGTTGCCTTAGTCATTCTCCTCTCATGATTTAAAAGGAAGAGAGTAAGTAATAAAACTGATGCTCAATATGCACACAAAAAAAATTAAACCAACATTTGTTTATTCATCCCAACCATTCACTACAATCCGAAAGGGATCAAACACCAACAAGACATTTCTTTGTTTTATGCATCATCATTTAAGCTTGAATTTTCAGGGAAAAACACCAACAAACAACAGCAAGATTTAATTTCAAATCAGAATCCAATGAGTTTTTATGAAGGAAAAATAGGATTCTTCTTAGGGTTTTTATTAACATGGATTCCATGATAAGAGATTAAAAGTGTACCTGGATTTTGAGCCTTGAGGAGCGACTGGCAGTGTGACGGTGGTGACTGGCGGCGCGATGTTGGTGACTAGCGTGCCGATTTGATGAAGATGCTCGCTGAGGATGGAGGAAGAAAGGTTTAGGAAGAAACAAATTAGGAAGGGGAGGAGATTTATGTATCCCAAGGCGGTGTTGTAATAACAAAGGCCACTAACGTGCACCTCTACTGCAGCGATTCAACAACAAACGCCACTAAGTTTATTAAGACGTTTTAATAACAAACACCACTAAGGTTTGTCTCTATTATGGTGTTTTAGTAACAAACGCCACTAAGATACGGATCTATAATGGCATTTTATTGACAAACGTCGTTAATTTTGACATTCAATGGCATTTTTTGATAAAAAGTGCATTGTATGTGAAATTTTATTGGCGTTTGTACTATAAACGATGAGAAAAGCGTCGTTATAGACCCATTTTGCTGTAGTGTTCTCGGTCAACTATGGTTTACAAAATATCCTTTAACTAAGTCACAAAAAAAGATTCATGTACCATGTTACTTAGATTTGCGAGTATCCGAATTTTACGAGTACCCGATTATTATGGACCGGGGTATGGAACTGAATTCTAAAACAATAATCTCCGATACTAGTATTTCAAGTATTCGAAAAAGCTGATACTCATATATGAACACACCTGCCTGCAATCACTTTAAACTATCTAAATTTTAAGAAGTTAAATTCTAATTTTAGTACCATTATTGTGTTTAAATTTGAAATTTAGTATATATGTTTTAATTGAAATTGTTAATTGTGTTACTCATTTTGAGTAACGAATGATGTTATAAAAGTAGAGAAGTCAATTATGTCAAATAAAACAGGAGTTGATCTTAAATTCTTGTATAGTAAAAGGACTAAAACCAAAATTAAAACAGAAGTAAATCTTAGATTCGTGTATAGTAAAAGGACCAAAAAAATAATTTGACCCAATTTGGGGAAACATAGTATCGTTGCGAGTGGTGGAATTTGAACCCACGACCTTTCGGAGCAGAACTCGGCCATCTCAACATTTGTGATTTTGAAAGTCTTAATAATTTGTTGAAATATTTCAATGGGGGTTAAAATATGCTTAATTACCAAATTAAAGTAAATTTTGAGTAAATTGAAGGGTGACATTAACTACGGTTGGTTAGTAAAATATATGGAAATGATTTCTTATCATAAAACAATTGTAAATTATATAATGACCATTAATTTTTCAAACAATTACAAATTAGTCATTAAAATGATCAAACTGTTAAAAAATTATTATTCTTATCAAAATATTATAAAATAATCCCTAGTCTTAACAGAATTAATCAATATTTTACAACGTGCAATGATCGTTTTGTAACAATTCAATGAATGTAATAGTGCAATGATCATTTTGTAACAATTCAATGAATGTAATAATCATTTTGCAGCTTTTAAATTTTTTTAATAAAAAAAATCATTTTTAACATGTTAGAGTAGAGAGGAGAGTATAACTATATTATGAGGTTCAGAATAGGTTTGTTGGGGGGATAGAATTGAGTGGTGAAGTTTGTGTAAGGAAAAGACTTTGTTGTTTACAGAATGATTCTCGACTAGGATTAGGGTTTCATAATTTTGGAGTTTTAGTAATTTGAATTTGATCAGTTAAAGAGTTTACTCATCTAATTTCAGTCATTGAATAAGTGTTGATTAGATAAATATTAGTATGAGTTTGCCAGGATTAGGGATATGTATTTCATCTGGACTTATGAGTTAATGAGTTTTGATTTAACTTGAATTTATCTAACATGATCAAAATAATTTTTTATTTTAAAAATTTGAATTCGAGTAAGATCAAATTCAAAAGTAAGATGAAAATAATTAATTTGAACTAAATAATATTATAATTACTATTTATATATTTATAAATAATTATAATAAGATATTATTATTTTGCTTAATAAAAATAAAATTATATACAGGTCAAATTGAATTAGATGGAGTGTGAATTTCAACCTAAAAATTTGACTTGAATTTCAGGTTGAGCCACCTTTATAAACCTTTTGTCTTATTCGACATGTTATGACAAAAACGGGATTGCAGGCATTTTTGTCTTTACCTTTTGTGTTATTACATGTTTGCATGTATTAGTCTTAAGCAACAACCTTTACTTACACTTCTAATCATGAAAAGTGTTGTAATTTCAGTCATCACCTTTTGTTAATAGTCAATCCCCTTAACAAGACACAAGACATTCAACAAACTTTGCCACTTTAATCCCAAAATATATGAGGGTAAATCATTTAATGTATAAACTATTAATTTTGATTTATTTTAATATTTAAATTTAATTTTTTTTAAAAATTATATTTAAAGTTTAATTTTTATTTCATTTTAATACCATGATATTAAAAATTTAACATTTTAATACTTAAACTATCAGTTTTAATTCATTTTAATATCTAAATTTGTAAATTAGTTTTTGAAATAATAACAAAAGTTTATCCAAATCGAATCATTATCGAACTCAAGTTACATCTCAACAATTTCATATTGTTTTCTTTCTTTCTTGTAAAGCAATCTCCCCACATTAAATTGTACCTTTCCACCAAACATGTACATTAACAAACCATCTCCCATATATATATATATATATATATATCAGTCGAAGAAACAATAGCAAGGGGACAGGGAAGAGCCTGAAATGAGAAAGCAAATTGTGTATGCCCTTGTTTTCCTGATAGTCTTCTTCTTTTGTGATGAAACTTTAGCTCAAATAGCTCCGGCGCCGCCGGTAAAGGTGGACAACATCACTTCGATCCTCGAAAAAGGCGGTCAGTTCAACACTTTCATTAAGCTGCTACAAGCCACACAGGTGGCCGATCAACTAAACAACGAGCTGAGCACCCCCAACCCGAACGACGGGCTAACGATCTTCGCACCAAGCGACGACGCGTTCAGCGGACTCAAAACCGGGACGCTGAACTCGCTCTCCGACCGACAAAAACTCCACCTAATCCAGTTCCATATCCTCCCCACGTTGATGTCGACGTCGCAGTTCCAAACGGCGAGCAACCCTCTGCGCACTCAGGCGGTGATGTTAAGGGTGGGAAGTTTCCGCTCAACGTGACGGCGGCAGGGAACCAGGTTAATATAACGACCGGCGTGGTGAATGCGACGGTGGCGAACACCGTGTACTCCGATCGACGGATCGCGGTGTATCAAGTGGACCAGGTTCTTCTTCCGTTGCAGATATTCGGAACGACGCCGGTACCGGCGCCTGCACCGGATGTGCCGGACAAGGATGTTTTGGTTCCGACTCCGACTCCGAAAGCATCCAAGGGTGCTGACACTGATTCAGCTGGTGCAGTGTGCTTGGAATTCAGTTCCATGGCAATGGTTTCATTTGGATCTGCAGTTTTTGGGACAATTTTTTGGGGACTTTGAGGTTTGTTGTGTTTTTGGTATTTGCTGCATGGGATGCATGTGTTCTTTCGTTCTGTTTGTAATTTGAAGTCATTTCATATGATTAAATATTGATTCTTTGTAATACAATGCCTGCTCTTTATTTACTGATATTGAAGACGCAATGAAATAAGCATTGACCCGAGTTATAGAGATTCAGTATAGTTGAGGTACAACGAAATAAAGTATATATTACCGAAAACCAATTGATAACGAGACACTATATTTCTTGAATAAGGTCAGGTATTTAAACACTGAGCCTTTACGAATGAAGCAAAGGACATTGTATCTCTTTAAATTTGCGTGAAGGACACTGTCCAACTCCTATTCATCAAATTTCTTATATACTGCATGATGGTCGGCGATGCCAGCTCTTGCTTATTCCTCGAATACAGTCTGAATGTCTCTTGTTATATTCAATCCTTTACCTTCTTGTTGTTGGATATCTCGAAATAACCATCTAACTCAGTTGGTAGAGCACAAGGTTCTTAATCTTGAGGTTGTGGGATCGAGTTCCACGGAGGACATTTCATAATTTGGAGTATCTCACGGAAACCTAGCGTTGGGGGCAATCTACTATCTTATCTCCCCTTATTCCATTACATATGGGAACATGGTCAAACAAAATTCGAAAAGGTCAAATCTTTGATGATTCCATCATATATGATTGAGTTGCGGAAACTTCTAGATAAGTATCCTACATCTGAATTGAATTATTTCTAGTTAAAAATCTCTTTCTAATTACTCTGGCAAAGAAATATGGGATTATGCTTTTGGCGGCAACATCTTATGTGTCAAACATGCGTTAATCCTTCAAAAATCCTCATAATGATGTTAAGATATAAACGACTTAGTGACTAAAAAAACGAATTAAAAAATTTAAGTGTTATAATTTTAAAATTTAATGACTAAAACAGAATATGGTCAAAGTTTAACGATTAATAATATAATTTACTCTTTGAGAAAAAGACAATCATAAAACTAAGTATAATAAGGGGACTAAAATGACAATTCGGCCTTAATATTTATATCAAATTGGGAGGGAAAAAGTCGGTAAGGCGGTAAAAATAACAAATTCTGGAGCTCATCTATTTTTACCTTTCTCAAACTGGAAGTCTCGAACAGCCCGATGCTTCTCTTCCTTCCTCATCTTATCCTTTTGCGATTCTACAAATTCATAAAGGTTCGTTTATTTATCCAAATCTATCTCTGTTAGATGCTCGTTTTCCATCTTTTAAGAATTGTCTAGTGTCTGAATGGAATCGAGCTTTCCCTGATATGTTTCTGCGCATCGTTTGATTTAAAATGGAAGGTGCTTCACTTTTTTAATTCTTGGATTAGCTAACGTTTCTTTTTTTAATGTTTCCGTTTTAGTTGATTCGAGATTAGAGATATTTAGTAATCACGAGCAGGATTTTATTCAGGTTTAGCCAATTGTTTTGACTTTCGATTAGTAGATGTCTGAAGATGTTAGAAAATGGAGAAGTTGATGGAATTTTAAAGCGTCAATTCATTCATTCTTTCTTTTGAAGAACGTTATTGAATTTACAATTAAGGACTCCATGGTGTTAGTGATTGATTTTTGTTTCGTCATTTAGGAAAACTTATAGTTGGAGAATTTTATAAAGTGAGTCAAAGGCTGTAGTGATCAGCATCTTTGACCCACAAGGCCAAAATTGCAGTGAATGTGATATTCGATAATGTGATGAATAATTGTAAGCTATTTCAGTTTCCGGAGAATTCGTTCTTTCACTAAGAACGCTTAATTTCTAGGATTTTATCGTAAATCGGAGTTTATTTTATGGTTGGTTGTAAGGTAAATGTTAGCATCAGAAATTGTTTAATGTGATTTGAATTGATCCACTGGATCATCATGCAAATGGAATGCCTGTTTTTGATTTCCATGTGAAGTACAAATACATCAAATAATCAGGATATTGCTCATTTTCTTTAAGAAGATTCTCTCTCTCTCTCTCTCTTTTCTCTTTGATTTGTTTGAAATTACGATACTTTATAGTTTGCATAATCTCAACTGTTATTTTAGGGTTAACGGGTTTGCTTTGTTTCTACTTCATTCCTGTTTTTGCCACATTGCAATCACCCTGGCTTTATGAATCGTCTAGTAAGCACCGGCTATTTTTCTTTTAAACGTTTATTTCTTGTTATTTGTTAAGGTATTATTGTACATTGTAGAAAATTTTTATCAATGAGCACAGGACAGTTTTCTGAAGCTGATTTCTTAAAATTTTCTCTAAATTTGAGCATGAAACTAGGTAATTACAACCTTGTTAAACAGTACACAGTCCTACATGCCTTCTCATTATAGGTTATAGAAGGAATTTTACGTTTCCCTACAAGTCAAATCGGTGTTGTAAAATGCAAGTCCATTTCTTCATACACGGTTATTCGGTCAATGTTGACTTGTATGGATTTTATGAATGCTATCATTTACTCATCTTCTCCAGCAGCCTTGCCTTTTTCTTTGGTCAATCTGCTGGCTGGGAAATGTAATCTGGCCATTAGAGGACGGGGTCCTCGTGATTTCTGGTCAAATCCCCGTACACAAACATATCCTGCAATTTATCATCAGACATAATCTAAACAATTGAAGAATTTGTTATATGACTTGAATTCTATCAGAAATGACCGATCGTTTCCAAATTGTTCAGGAATTGGAAAACTAGGTGTAACTAGAGAAAAACAAAGAATTGGAATAAAAGAACAGGGTATGACAGGTATTCAATTGTTGAATGCTATGTTTGAGATAGTTTAGCTAATGTTTGCAATTTTGGTTAGTCAAAAATATTTTGAGTCTAGTCTATCTGATAGAGCTAACGCAATAGGTCTTCAATACTTACAAATGATAGTTAGGGGTCCAAGGGGAATATTTCAGGACAAAAGTGGGTGAGCCAGTTTGTTAATTATTTGATAACTATTTTGTCATGTTAATTGTTAAGCTAACTCATGAGTTGGTAACTCAAGGGATGACCTGTGCGTTGTTAACTTGTGGAAAATATCAAAGGGATTAGATTCTTGTGGAAGATAAAGGTTTGTGTTGCTAAAAGGGATAAATCGTGGTTGATGCAATATAAACTAGTTTGGTATCCATTTTGGTCCAGAAGCTGAAAGTGGCCTACAATGGCATGATAATTTATTCCCAGTGTTCATAGAGATCTTTATATGGGTAACAGGAAATGAACTATGATGGAGTTTGAAGCTGCTACAAGTCCAAATATAACAATATTTTTGTGCCGAGGAAGTTAAGTACTATTTGCATGGCAGTTTCTAGATCTAGATTTTATTAAGTGGTGTCAGGGAATGAACTTTATATGGATAACAGGCAATGAACTTATGTTTTGATGGAGTTTGAAGATGCTATAAGGCCAACTATAACAAAAATTTTGTGCCTAAGAAACTGGGTTCTACTTTTGTGTGTTTGCATGGCTGTTGCTAAATCTAGATCTTAGCACAGGTAGTGATTCTAAAGTGCTTTATCGTTCTTTTCAGCTTTCCTGTAATGAGATGTTATTCACTATTATGTTTAATAAGAAATCCCTAACGAGGAAGTTGTTCACTTTCTGAATATCTTTTAGGGCTTTACTCCTATGAACTAGTCCTTGGCAGTTGAGTTTGATTCCTTGAATTAGAAAAATTTTCTTAGGGAGTTGAGGTCAACTTAGAACTCACGGACTTGGCAACTTCTATCAACTCAAGAAAGTGCTGCCTATAAACATAATGATCTCTTTGTGATGCAATAAAAAGTTCAGTGCCATGGTATGATCGTTTCTTTTCTATGGCTAGATGAACACATGAACATGCTTTTATCTCAAGGCTATTCCTGTGTCCTTGATTCCCTTGGAACCAGGAATTCAAAGATGTCGAAGGGTTTATCAACTGTTGAATGTTTCTAAAAATTTCAAAGTTTGGAAGTTTTATGTACACCTAAAGTAGGATCAAGGTTGCTTATGGGTAGCTAATCAAATCAATGCAAACAGCTCGACATAAAATTACAATGGTTGATAATTCTCACCTCTCCAGAAGCAGTTTTGAATTCCCTCTGTTGTTAAGCCTGTTATCAGTGAACATAGTCATTTTTTTATCTTGGTAGATTTATCAGCACAATCCTTTCTATTGAAATCTTCTAACCTTTAAATATTGAAGGTATGGAGGTTCCAAAGTAGACCATTCTCCTGGCAGGTTCCATAGCCATTCCCTTGGAACAGCAATCGGGTTTAAACTAGAATCATGGTCAGCAAATACCTTCATAGAAATATTATTTTTTATCTTCGTTATTTCCTTAATAAAGAAGAAAACTATAAAGCTCAAAGGAACTAGTTCAACCAGAATGTTCAACTTACCTCGTTAACTTGGAAGTATGTGCCATTTAGGGGAAAGCTTCCTCTCATTGCTGTTCGACATGGTATCTATTTATGATGGGTTAGCATATAATATTCTGAATTAAGATCCTGAATGCAATATTTATTCATACTATTTAACAGGTCTATTTTATTACCAAAAGTGTTCCCCTGACAATATGCGATTCTGCTTCCCGAATACTGTTGCAAGAGAAACATGTCTCATCATCGCACAAGTTGCCATGCTCTTGGGAATTGCACCTTCTTTCGGGCACTTGAATGGAGTTTGCTGTTTCACCTGGTGTAAGCAAAATACTATGTCATCTCAAGAGGTTTAAGAGTTTATTATACCATGTTATTAAATGGTGTGCATACCAGGTGTCCATATGGCAAGAAGGTACTTGCACGGGTCATCAGGTTCTCTTTTATCCAACTGTAAGTTCACCGCAAGCAGCTTATATGAGAAAACACAGTTATAGAAATATGGAAAATATTCTTGTTCAAGTAGGTTGTCAAAAACAGCTAACCTCGTTTAGAAGAGGGTGTGAATCTGGAAGTTCATAGCTGTAGGATGGATTCAAGAAGTGGGGAAGGAGAAAAAAGGACAATTAGTATGAAATGACAATATTTCTGGTACCATTTTTAGCAGAACGTTTCTATTGTTGAAGGCTTTAGCATATTTAACTCTATTCATAGATTGGTTCATATAAGTACAATGGTATCATGACTATATTATAGTTTTAAACATTTTTGGACTTTTAAAAGTAGTTTAAGAGATAAGACTTGAATTTCTAACAGTTATAATTTAACCTCAACTCCAAACACTTATCTAGAACTAGTAATACTTATAGCAGATTTCATGAAATAGTTGACTTCAGTCTATGTTTCCAAGACTTCAGAGATATAGAAAGTGCCTACTTACACTTGGTGTTCTGTTCTTAGCCGGTTGACATTCTTAAGTTTGGGTGTTGGAATAGATGCAGCTTCTGCTGTTAAAGCAACTAAAGCCTTTGACATATCCCCTTCTTGAAGTTCCATGTTATTTTGCATATAATTCTGCAAAGTCTGGGTGAACTCTTCCATGTTAAGCTTGATTGTAGGAATTTCATCAGGGTCTTCAGAGAACATATCCTCAATGTCATTTTCTGCTACTTGTGTGCACTCAGGTTCTGGACTTGCTGGCTCTTCAATGATAGGGTTGCAATTATTAACCCCGGATACTGTTTGTAACTGTTGGTTCGCTTCTGACTGACAGTTCCTATCTGATAGTTCATTTGGTTGTGATAAGGGTAGAGCCAGTTGATCAATTGTTACAGCATGATTTGGATCAGATGTTCCATTTTTGGTAGCACTGACAATGCTTTTGTCCTCAGGTCCTGGCAGAGCAAGCCTTGCACTGCATTAATATTTTTATGGGTAAGTTAATTTGTCTCATGGAATGAATTTGGGGTTCTCTAAGTAGTCAGTGCTATTATCAGCAGAGCATGTTTAATGAAAATGACAAAATAGATAGGTTGACGATAGCCCTAGGGATGATAAATACTGCTTATCTAAGGACATCTTCCTGTCAAACTTAATCTCTGCATGATTTTATCAGCAGAGCATGCTAAAGGAAATAAATAGGTTGGCAATTGCCCTATTCATGGAACTGCAGCTTATTGAAAAACCCGCATATCTTGTGCTTGTCAAATTCTCATCTTTGTACGATGACTTTATATCTTGATTTCATATATTCAGTTGATTATTCGGCTTCCTAGGGCTTGATGTTTAGTCTAAATTTTAGGATGAGTACAGAAACTGTTCTAGTTGAATGCAGACTGACACAAGGGGATCTTGCAATACTGGAAGTACAATTAAAGTTAAATATTGAAATATTTTACAATCGAACCTTGCAAATGCACTGGCAAAATGTCTGCATTCTCCTCTCATTGGACATGCATTGCAGTTTGGTTTGCCTTTTGTACAGAAAACCTGCATTAATCTCAGACAATGTTTTTGCTGTCAGACTTAAGACAGTTGCTGGTCAGAAAAGGAAGTAAATTTCTGCATTTTGAGCACATATACAGCACACCTTTCCAAATGTGATCATCTGGTAATGTAGCTCATACCTGTTTAGTTGATAGTTTAATGAGTTAGCAAGCATGAAGCTCTATAATTTTTTTTTAATTTTTTTGGAAAAAATGTGTTTGCTCGAGTCAAGTAATAAAGTGAAGTGGCTCTTTACAATGTTCTTTGATCCAGCTTGCATAGTCGGGGCCATAGATATTTTTGGATAGATTCCAGGATGGGGTACCTAAGTAGGCAGAACAAATTCAACAGCTTTCTTGTAATTTTTTATGAATTTGTTGCTTGATAACTCATAATACTCACAGCTCTAGGAGATGCAATTGAAGGGACTCTGGCAGTGGTTGAAGGGGGACCCATCCCAATCTTACTGCTATGCGTCCAACATTTGTGTCAACCTGTCAAGCAAATACGGAAGTTGAACTCTGCTTTCTCTGCCATGGTTATTTACACAGTTGATTAACTTACTGGAAAAGCGAGATGGTGAAGTGTTAGAAGCCGCACACACTCTACACTTTTTAGCCCCAGTCCTCTTATACTTAGCAGGTACTCTCTACAACAAAGGAAAAAAATGTTTAAGCAACTTTCCATTTTGTTTAAAAGCATATAAAAAGGTTGACAAGTAATGTTCTTTGTTTTATATGCATGCAGCGTACTAATATGATACATGTCAAAATTGGTCTTGTGAATGCATTTAGGTACACTTTTTGGTCCCTTTGGCTTACTTTGCTTTGTCTGGCGGAACATCCCTCAGCCACTCCATGTTAATGCTTCCATGATCTCTAACCAGTCGGTTGAGGAAATCCTGTGTCCAACTCATTTACAATCAGCTGTTATGCATTATACTTACTGGTAAATTTGTTAACCTTACAATGTCATACTTTTTACCTTTATTCGCTGAGCAAGCACGTTATTCATCCCTCGTTCCTTAATTGTCTCAGCAATCTCATTAACTTCTGCATATCTCACTGCTTCCCAGTCCAGTGAATCCATTGTTTTCTCAGTACTTTCTCTTTTTCTTCCATTTGCTTCTGCCTGTTTTCTTAATCTATCCCAATCAAAATCATCCTTTTTCTCTTTCTTGACCTTTCTGCTTTCTGATTTTAATCCCCCAACCATCGAATTGAGCTCCTTATTAGATGAAGTGTCATGTATATGCAAATTTATATCTAAGGTTTCTTCTGAATGTTTTGACATATTTACATGCCTCAACATTTCTTTGTTTCGTGTATCGTCCAACGATTCCACAAGATTTATAGTGTCCTGATGCATCCCCTTCTGACAGTGTGAAACTGTCTTCTCATCTACTTGAATGTTGTTTGATTGATTATTTTCAAGGGAAGATTGTTGGGCCACCTGCACACACATGGTTTTGTCCTTTTGATCCATTGATTGACATGCAGATTCTTGTGTTGAGGGACTTTGCCTTTCTATCATGTTCTCTTCTTTTGTCTTAGAAGCCTCATACAATCTTGTTTCTTCTTTGAACATCTCAGAGTGCCCAGTTTCTCTGACTTTTGAGTTTAGACTAAGACATGGATGATAATTAGCTGATGGCATAAGGTCTTCCCCGTTGAAACTTGTAGGACCTTCCGAGTTGTCACAGTTTTCTCTCTGGTGATTCTGGGATTGACTTGTTTCTACCTTTGAGATCTCATTTGTAGACATGTTTTGATAACTGTAAACATCATGCAACCTGGCAGTTCCAACCATCTGTAAAAGCTTTACAAAAGAAGTAGATCTATTCAACACGTCAAACATAGGCCACTTAGTATGATCACCCGCTTCTGAGTTTCCCTCTGAGCATGATCCCGTTCTTTCAGTTTGAACCAATGAAAACTCCACAGAGGTTTCAGATGAAACCACAGAATTTTGAGATGAGAGGACATCATTTTCTTCTTCTTCTCCTTTGGAATATTCACTTTTTCCCCTGATAGTTTCCATATTCATTCTGTTTATAGTGAGTCAAATATGTGCTTAAACCACTTCCTGAAGAGTCCAGCAACTTACACTTCGGTTCATTTATTGAGCTTAACGTAGCAGTACTACTTCCAGACATTTCCTTGCTGTTGACTACCTCTTTTTCTTCAGAGTCTTGATACCCATCAACAATCATCGAACTTTGGTCTCCAACTGGTTGAATTGCTATACTGTCTTCTGGCTCCAAGATATAGAAATCTGCTCCGTTTACTAAGCTTGTTATCTCTTGATGATACTTGTCCTTGCCTTTTGATTTAAGAGGAAAACGAGCGGCAAGAGACATGAATGCAGAACTGTCAAAGGTTGAACAAAAATAGAATATTTCCTTTTACTTTTGTGGGTCATTAAAGGTTCTTAGGGGTCTTTAGCTTACCTAGAAAGATGGTCAGACACATTCTGAGTAAGAAAGACACCAACTACAGAGTCCAAGACTGATCCTTTCCATGGAGAGAAGCGTCTATCCCCTGCAGAAATGATATTGTACTCTCATGAAGGAAACAAAAGTAATAATTCAAGAAAGAGAGATAATGCCTTCTAAACTCTAATATATAAACATGAACAAGTTCACTGAGATACATGTCATGGCGGATCCCATTACATTTCGCTGTTTTACAGAAATAACTTTTGCAATTTATGTTTTTCTAGAGAAATTCCCCACCTTTGCTCCTCTGTTCCCTTTTTCTGATCACCTCTCTGTATAGAATACAATCCTTCTAGTTCTGTTTTTATAGGCATTGATAAGTGGGATAGAAAGGTTAAATAGTGTCTTTTATAGCAATAATATTTACTGGAACCTCATTTCATAGCATGATAAACACTATTATTCATTAAGATAATCTATCTAATTAAGTGTTTTCGCAAATGCTTGTAAAACATGTCCTCTAAGAGTGCTATCAAGGAAAATATTAGAACACTATGTTACCTTGTACAAGGTGCATGCGTGCAATAAATGAGTTTGCACGTCCACTGAATACTCTCCTTTCTTCTTCCCACCATTTTGCCTTCTCTTCATCAGTTCCATCAATACCTTCACTATTGATATTTTCTAAGAGAAGCTTCCAAACTCTACTTGTTTCTTCATCCAGGTTGACCTTAGGCCTTGGGCGTCGTTTTCTGGTTGGCATAAATGGTACAATGGTTCCATCTCTATAAACAAGTGCATTCTGCTCTTGGTATCTCATAATATAAGGGACAAGGGCATTCTGCTCTTGATATGCAATTGTGCTACCTTCGTTGTTAATGTCCAACTGGTTGAACTGTTCAAGAAGTGCATCAACAGAGAAAAACTGTTTCCATATTTCTTCTGGAGAGGAACCTGCATCAAGTTGATTATATGACTTAAAAGGCTTGGCAGATAGGGCAAATTACTCAAAGATTTAAAAAGTTTCTCAAAGAGATGAAGTTAGTACTTTGTTGAAATACCTAAAAGTTTGGAAGAAAACTGGTTTTGATTAGATGAGGCAAGTTTCTTGTGCATTTGTGCTTCACTCGTACCAGAAAATGCTGAATTTACAAAACAGTTTCTTTTCTTTGTTCGCTTTGTTTTTGCCA